GGGGGTGGGAAATGATTGTCTGACCTTTAATCACCAAACTGATGATGACGATGATGCTGATTCGATTGATTGACTGATTCCACCAATCCAGAAGTTTAAAACTTCGAACTTTCTTCAGTTGCTTTTATTAGAAAAATTCTGAGGGCTCCATTCCCCAAAAATTTCTTGTAAACCAACAGAAAATGAAAAACTAGTTATACCTGTCCTCGATTCATTCGAATCCATCAGATTCAGGTGAAAATGTCACTGTCAGGGTTCGACCTCAAAAAGGAAAAGCTTCAGAGAAATGGGATTAGAATTAGAAATAAATAAGAATAAAATAAAAAAAACGGAAATTGAAAAATACAAAAAATAATTAATAAACATAGCAAGTTGGCAATTAATTAATATTAATAATTATTCATAACTTGTGATACATTAATGTCTGATACGCTGCTCCTCAAAGTGCTTTATGTACCTGGGTAATCTTTCTGCAGTGCCCCTATAAATTGCTCGGTATTGATCCGGCTATAACCATACCGTAGACAATGTATTAACTGTTTTTTATACCCAATAGCCTTGTATTTATGATAACTATCACTAACTATCGATTATAAATAGAGGGTGAGGTGTTGTAGAGGCAAGTAGGCAGCTTAGCACGGTTGCCCACCAGGGGTCCACATGCCGGTCGGCTCCCGCCGAGGACAGCCATTCCTTCTAGCCTCTAGGGTTAGTAAAATGGTACCCGGTTCGCCTGGGAGGACTGAAAACTGGTCTAAGAATCGGTCGGCTCCCGTAAGTCATACTTCGAGATCCGCTCGCTTGGATCGCGCGAGCGGATCACGAAGTATGAACGCATTCTAAGAAAGTATAGACTATCTGTAATCCGTCTAGCTTTCGATCTCTCTAGATATAACTGGCAGAGACATGAACAGAACTTACTCAGCCTGCTCGGAATAACGAACGGTGGAATAGAGCGGGTTTTCGAAGCGTAGAGGAAATCTGAAATTGGTAGCATGAATCGTAAATTTAAAATCCATCCATGATCTGTAGAGAACATTTTTTAGATGTTTGAACATTTTCAAATGACGGGGCAAAGGTGGTGTAGTCGCAAATGATGTCACGTACCATAGGGTCTGGGAAAAAGT